ATGCACCTGATCAGTCCTGGTGGTCTGCATGGTAAAGGTCTTGAAGTTGGAGGACATGCACTGCAGATACTGAGATAGTGTTTTCAATGAAAAGCAGGGTAGAAATCATGGCAATACATTATTGTATGGTCGAACTCGTCTTCTTTAAAGTTAGTTCTTTCTCACACTGATGCAGTACATGTAGCAGAAGATGCGAGTGAATCAGCCTTTATCAGGTATCCTGGGGCGGCGGACGAGATAGTGACGGGTAGTCCGCAAACTGACTCTGCGTACATGTTCATTATTCATGATACGAAGTCATGACCTCTGGATTTTAGCTGCCATGTCTGTGCAGGCTTCGGACATTGCTACGGTATAATAATTAACAAAATTGAGGCCGTGTAGTTGGTGTTCGGTCATGATGGAAGGAGAGGTGGAGCTACGGAAGAGATGAGCTGATTATTCGCAGGGTGAGGGTGACATATCGGTTGGACGAGTATGACGATTACGAAGATAGTTGAACATGATCATTTTCAAAGGTAACTCAAACTGATTTGGCAATGAAAAAATATTTTACTGAAGTAATGTTTACCCTTTTCCATGATAATCACTAGCATGCATGGACACCTTGGTATAGGGATACTCGTGTAACATATTGTTGTACTTATGGCCACTTGCAAGTACAAAAAGGCACACGATTTTCCGAACTTTGGGGCTCCATAAGTACAACAAAGTGAACATGTATCCGCGCGTGCCAAAGCATAATATGAGGATTTTGCGAGCATAATGCGAGAATCCATGAAAGAATAAATTCCATGATTTCGCGAGCATAATCCGCCGGAGCCTAGTGGACGAGTAACTCTACACTACCACCGGTACTAGTACCAGCAGGGCTAGGGGTTCATAAACCACGCGTTTTATGGACTCTTGGTACAGTGGTCCCTCTATAATCCGGCACTATTTGTGCCACGAAAATCTGCTGGATTAGGGAGGGTGCTGGATTAACAAATCTGATCTACTGCTGCAATGTGCATGAAGAGGACATTTGGCTACTGAAAATTGTGCCGGTTTATCGAGGGTGCTGGATTATAAAGTGCCGGATTAGAGAGGGACGACTGTACTAGACTACACACAGTGTACAGGCAGCCAGCTACGCGACACGCGCAGTTGCATGAATGGACTACGCGTCCTGACAAGCGATCTACGCTGGCTGTGATGGCATGCTAATCTATATCAGCTCCTACATGTCGTCAATACGTTTTTGAATTGAAGCCCGGTTTGCGATTTTCGACACCGACTCCCTCCCCACCCCCCCCCCCCCCCCAATCGTATGCTCTTCGTTTCAGGGGCTTCTGCGAACTTTTGCGATGGTCCCTAAGAAGGATGCCCTCGTGAAGTCTGCGCTGAATCCAAAGAAGTGCAGCGTGGCACAAGAAGGATGCCCTCGTGATGTCAGCGCTGAATCCAAAGAGGAGCAGTCAGACACTGTCTTTCTAAATAACATGTTAAATCGCACATGGTCTTGGTTTAATTTTTGGCCCTTTTTCGTGCTTTGGAGTTACTTATTGTTTTTGGAGAGTTCCATTCTCTCCACCGAATTGGTATTGCAAAAAAACAAGGGACAGTAAAACGAAGAAAAAAAGATCTTCACAAGTATCCCTAAAAAATGAAGAAGTAAGACACAAGAACGAGTGAGGCGCTGAGAACAGCGGAGGCGAGGTCCCAACAACACCACATTATGAGTTGCATTAGAAACTTAGATGATGGCAGTGGCTATTGATTTTAATTAAAAGATTTGCAGAGTTATCGTTTGCGATAGCATGATATTGTTTATACCTGGAAACTGGGGGAAACACTCCATGTACTTGCAACGAACATGTCCACGTGCTGACCTACATAATAAAATCTTTCATAATTGTACCTCCCGCTATTACACAAGAAAGTCGAGGCAGAAAGTCGACGCAGAAAGTCGAGGCAGCCATTTAGATGATTGCCTATATTTCAGAATCAAAGTTCCATGATTTGTGATAGTTGTGATAAATAAATGTTTCTTTTTTTTACTTGCACTGTATTTTCGTTTGTACTGAAGCTCTGCATGTCGTGACCAGTTATCAATGTACGTTCTTACGTGTACAAACTATACATACATGACATTGTAGGAAACACGACAGGTCACCGCGAGACAGCTCACAGCGCGACAACTCACAGCCGACAGCTCACAGTGTCGTCAACACACAGCCAAGACAACTCACAGTGTCGTCAACTCACAGCGAGACAAGTCACAGCCAAGACAACTCACAGCCACACCAAGTCACAGCGCGACAATTCACAGCCACACCGCACTGTCTTCTTCTTGTTCAGGCTTTGTCTTATGGACTTCTATTTTCTGGTGTCAACTGGGAAGTTCATTTTCATTAATCATATTCTTCGCCCTTTGCCTGTATTTACATCGTTATTCCCAGCCCCGCAATCTACCTGGAGCACGCGTTATCGCGACACACATGATATCCCGTATTTAAAATGCAGAACAACACTCGGTCAAAAATCCTTTGTGCTTCGTGCTGCTCTGTTTTTTAATGCTCTACCTAATGACTTGAAATCCTCTTTGTTTACCTCTCAGTTCGATCGTGGTTTTAAGCGCTTATTGGATGATCCAGTTTGGTTTGAACGATATCGTGCAATTTTGTTTGACAACGTTGGCAACGTTTAGTCTCTCACCAGCTACATGTATAATATTGCCCAGGTTCATTCAGCATACGTTTTTCTTCTTTTCTATTTATGTTCACCACTCATTCCCCCTTTTTTCTAAACATTTGAACATTTACACTGATGTACATGTATATACATTGTTTGTTCTTTTTTTTTCTATTTTATTTTATTTTATTCTTTTGGTCCCATCGGCCTCTTCATACTTGTGCAGCTGCACTGTTGAGCTTCCGATGTAAAACAAATAATAATAATAATAATTTCTCGATTAAAGTTCTCTGTTATTTTCGACTTTGCATTACATGTAAATAGAGAAGTGCCGGGAACGTCGCGTTATTATTATCAAATACATTTTAGGTTTTTCCTAGGACCAACCCCCACAGACTCCAGGTCTTCATTGCACTATTACATAAATATATTGACCTTTGATAAATTCCCACACTCATTATATTAGTGACCACATCATCAACAGTATCAAATTCAAATAAAATTTGCTTTGACTCAATAAATACCACTGCACTTTTCCATGTAGCACTGCACTTTTCCCCAAAAAGGAGTATTTCATAAACATTATTTTTTGGCCGTTGTGGTATTTTATAAACAGTATTTATTGGCTTTCGAGCCAATAAATACTGTTTATAAAATACCACTACGGCCTATAAATACTGTTTATAAAATACTCCTTTTTAGTGAAAGTGAAGGTCAACTATGTATGTATGTATGTATGTATAAAATACCACTACGGCCAATAAATACTGTTTATAAAAATAATACTCCTTTTTAGTGAAAGTGAAGGTCAACTATGTACATGCATAATAAATGTAGTAGCCTCAGGATTTATTGCAATTACATATCAGTTATAAAAATGTCGGGGGACCTCGGTTTTTATACTGGTATGTAATTGCAATAAATCCTTAGCCTCTACATGTATTACACATAAGGATTGATTGATTGATTTTATTTTACTTCGCAAGTTCAAACGGGTTCCTGGCCCAGTTATATGAAAGCGAAGGATAGAATTTGCCAAAATCCTAATGAGCAACAGCATAGGCAATATTATCATAGAAGTGGAGTACTATGCGAGCGAGAATACTGAGAAGAAAGGAACATGTCAAAACCTGACGAAACACAACCTATTTCAGGCATACATAAGGAAGGCAGGCTAGCTTAAAATCTTGCAATC